CGATTAGCATATAGGTTTTATTAGTGCGTCCAGTGTCGTGCTTACTTTACGCACCTTACTTACATTGATCGGGTAAACAGAACTTTTATGCGTTCCATATCTATATTTTTGTAGCAACAAAAACAAAGGACGTGTTAAAAGCAGCGAGACGACGCCCACTAATTCGATTTTATGGACGATAAACCAAGTTACTGTAATGGACCTATATTAGATAGTCATTGATTGGACGCGATTGTCCAGAAACCACTTTCAGGTCCTTAAGTATATTCTATCTTCATCGATATAGTTGGCATTTTTATACACTTAACTGATAGTCGATCTAATGGAAAGTGTCAGAAAAATGAATGAAGTCGCTAGAGCTGCAGCATTACATTAGTCTCCATTTTTCATTTGAAAGTTCTGTGTCTATTTAAAGTTTCTTTTTATTATGGAAATGTTTCCGCATTAAGCTGAAATCTATGAAATAGCCCGAGGGTGTGAAACATTTTGAAACTTATTTCTATTCTACGTTTTGGATGTAATAAGTATCTACTTTAGTTATGGTTCTCGATGTTTTTCTTTTTTTATATTCTCGGTAACAGAAAAGCATCTTGTCATAAAATTGAATTATTGCAAGTATAGCAGTTGCTGAACTGTGAAAAACCTAAAAAAACTTTTATGAATTGTCTAACGAACGAACGGAGGATGTGTATCTATCGGAGCGTGAAAGAGGCATGCCGCAGGATAATAAAAGAACTATACAAACTGTTAAATCGACGTTGTGTACAAATCAGTTTTTGTATGGGGCGTGTGAAACATTTCTGACGTTAGCACCGGATCCTATCATACCATCATAAGCATCAGTTTCTCTAAGAGTCTAACGAATTGAACGGACACCCAACCATTTCAGTAAAAACCCCCACAGTCTGTTTAATTGATTGGTTCGTGTTGTATATGTGAAATATCGAAATGTGACGTTATGTTACTTCGTATCATGATTATTTTTATGTTGGTGAAGGTTTGCGTATATTTCTGAGTACTTTACTTCAATTTCGTAAGAGATTGTGTTAACATTTTTCGATGATATTTTGTATATGTTTTATTAAACGTTGATAATTGATAATACCAGGAAGTAGTTCTCTATGCATGTTTTACATAATTCATGTGTAAATTACAGATGAGCAGCATTTCATCTATGCTTCATATTTAAAATACCAATTCAAAACATGACATCTTAACTCATTTTATCGACTCAAGAGAAGGAGAGCTCGGGGCGTAAAAGGTAGCCCATGGAAGATGTGAGAGTGCTCCTTCCGCTCTTGGATATTCAAGGCGGTCAATACGGAAAAGGCGGTCCAGGAAGATGCGAGAGGTTCTCTTTCCCCTCTCAGATGTGCAACGCGGTCGAAGCTAATCTGTGGTTCATACGACACAATCGTTCGATACGAAAAAGGCGGCCCATGGAAGATGCGAGGGCGTCCTTCCCCTCTAGGGTGCACAAAGCGGCCGATACGAAAAATGTGGTCGATGCGGAAAAGACAGCGCACGGAAGATACCAGAGGTGCCCCTTTCCTTCTCGAGTGTATAAGGTGGTCGATACGGGAAGGGCCAAATGTCTCCCTCTCTACGACGTTCTTCTTCTCTAAGGCGTTCAGATTTAGATTGTGTGCGGATTCAAAAGTGGTTTTAATACAGTGTATCCACATGGAAGTGTCGCTTATTTTGGGTATAGGTCGAATTACTTCATGCTTTTATTTTGAGTACCGTCATCTCAAACATGTTTGTTTGTTATACTATGCAGGTGATTATGCCTTTATATTGTTTATCAAGTATTTATTTATGTATTCACAAGGAAGTGTGTTGTCAGTGTGCTGTTGCTCTGTATGTTTTGATTTAACTATTCCGAAAAGGGGGTACCACATGTAGTTTGATTCTCAGCATATGTTGCTCCTTCATTTCGTGCGGACTTCAGCTCTTGTGTCTTAGCAATAATGACCATTTCCTCTATTTATATGTTTCGCTTGGGCGATAATGGAATTTAACATGCATATTTGTTACGGTCATTCTCACATGTGCTTTTCGTGTCAAATTAGTTGAAGCCTACTCTTTTGACGTGTTCTTTTGCTATACGTGCAATTTACCATTTTACATTACGTGTTTTTGTACTGAATTGATTTGATCATGTTTTGTACTTGTATTTATGATGCCTCTTGTGTCTTGTTGTTTTTAATTTACTTCATTTGACGTTACGTATTTCTCTTATGCATTTTATTGTCGTAGTTGATTTATTTCGTGTATTTGCGTGGATTGTGCCGGTTTTTTGCCAATAAAAGGTTTTCCTGGTATCAGAATATAGAATTGCCAAGTGCAAATATAGGGCAAGTCACGATTGCAGTGCCGGATTGGGAGACCCTTAAGATCATTACAACCTTCAATGACTTTTATAAGCACCTAACGTTCCGTAAAGATTTAAGTGTTTCGAAAGCCTTTGGAAACTCTTCGTCAACGTAAACGATTATTAAGAGCGAGAGGACCCTTAAAAGCGTATATATTTTCTGTCTGAAATCATAAATGTTTTTCAAGCCCTTCAAAGTTCGGTAAATACTAAATGTCTATTAAAGATTCCAAAACTCCTTTTGAAAACTTTTGGGAATTTAAGGTTAGTAAATACCTATAAGAACTCGACTTTGAAAGGTTCCTAAATGCCTTTTAAGGGTCCTCAAGCTTTAAAGCTCTGAAATCCTTGGCTCTTAGAGTAAAATAAAACCAAAATTAATACTTAAAAAATGTCAAGGGATGTGCAAGCTTCTGCATGGTTCGTGGAGCGCGTGTTTCCGAACGTTAAACACGCGTAGAAACTTTAAAGATTCGTAGAGACAAACGCCTTGAACACTTTTCAGGCGGATTAATAATTTTCAATGGCCGCTGTCATTTGGAGGTTCATCGAAACTCGTCAGAGATTTTAAAAAAACCTATAAAAAGTCTTTAAATGTCGTTATATTGATTGCTGATGATCTGATAATAGTATTTTACATTATTAGCCAGGTAAGTGAGTTTTTACTGGCGATAGGAGAAGTTGACTGGCGAGCCGTCAGGCGAGCCTGTCATCTCCTACAGCCAGTAAAAACTATTACCTGGCGTATAATGTACAATATTTTATTTGTTACTCATTTGTAAACAATAGTAAACGTAAATAATTAGTCCTTAAATTGATCTCGAAGAAATGTCTAAAATATCATGTTATCCATGTAACAGAGACTTCACATTAATTCTGGCCAATGAAATTACTAGATTACTAACTCGTAAAATTTTTACAGGTCAGCTGTCAGTTTTACAGGTCAGCTGTCAGTTTTACAAGTCAGTAGCGTTTAAACATGACGTTTACCCGTTTGTTAATCAACGTTTACAACTGAGTATACAACTATTTAATTTGGCGAAGCTTTGAACCTTTGAATTGCACTTGAACACTCGCAAAAAGTATTTAAGGTTCAGGTATTAAATATCCCTAAAAATTATTAAGTTAGGTTTTAAATGCCTAACAGGGGCGGTAAAAGGTATATTCAAAGGTAATTGTGGAAACTATAAGTATTGAAAGCTCTTGGAGAGAAAGCACTTGGTGATGGTGGTGAGTTTATGTTATGGTTTTATGGGTGTTTTTAAATTTCAGGAGTGTAAATATGAAGAAAGAGATGTAAAACTTAAGCAATGAAACCAAGCATCAACTACTTCTATCAAGTGTAAACATATAAATTTAAATCAATAAATTTTAAATCTGATTTAGGTGCACAAATTGTCCATTTCAACTTACATATACGTTTCTTTACCATAACATTATAATTAAATTAGTTAATCTATTATTGAATTTGTTATATGCTACAATTCTGACACATTTTCAGCGAATAACGCTCACACTTTACGGTTAACTGCTGGCGCCAGTTTTAGATTTTCGGGGACATTACACTTGGAACAAAATTAATAGATATTGTAACGGCTAACATTACAATTCTTTTTTTTGGTCAGAAACTCAATTTCTAAAAATATTCAGAGCTTTAAGTGTTACGCCACTGGCGAAATGAAAATATATTAAAACAGCAAGAAACAAATTTTGAAAATTCTTCATTGTGTACCCCGTTAATTGTTCGTAGCAGTATGAGAACTATACCTACGTCTAGACAAATTATATCTAATTTCGTGAAAAAAGCATGTAATAAGGTACACGAAATTGGTTTACCCTTGCAGATTGGCCCCTACGAAAAAATACCAACAGTTGCGTATATTTTCAAAGGGAATGAAGATAAGATAAATGTTGAATAATTCAGAATTCCATTACAGGCTTAGGCCACTTCAATTGAAAGTAAAGTAAACGCTTTCTTGTTAAATAATGCATCCCAATAAATAATGAACTGTTAATTAAGCCAGACACGTTGATCGAGAGCATACAGTAACGTTAGAGCCTAACGTAAAATAATGCAGTTCTTCCCCAATAGACCTTTTACTCCCTTTCCGCAGAGTTCTAATTAGTTTCTTGTAATTTGAACCTGGATTCAGTAATGATGTTCGATTTACTACCAAATTTAACCCCTCTAGATGGGAGTTTTAAATCAAGCATTAATTTTATGCGTCACTAATTAGAATTTGCCAATCTTAAAAACGGCCAATCAGGACAAGGATAAGCGAACGTTAGGTTTTCTTAAAAGTGCAGCTCCTTGTAACTAAGTTACGTCATCAGTAACGAGGATTCCTTTACCCTATTCAAGTAATTAAATAATCGATCACGCAAATAAAATAGCATTATAGTTGCTCTAACCGTTCTTGCAATTTGTAGGATTTGAAATTTTAAGTATTGCTATGGGCATTAATTATTGAGTAACGTTTTTATGGCTCTTCGACAAAGTTTTTCGGTCATAAAAAGTACATCATCCTTAAGATAATTTTCTTTCTAATATTTGCATGCAAAGATAATGAGCTTGGAAGCCCATGCGACAGAACAAAGAAAAACGTTAGAGAATTAGTCAACAAACCAGCGAAGATTGTAGCCTTTTGGATTCCTCCCCCTAGCTAGTAGACATGTGACGCGTCCATTCAACAATTCCAATGGAATATATGTAGAACGTTTCAACCGCAAGCGCGTCGCGACGCGAAAACCACTGGTCTCGTCGGCGTCGATCCTACATTTATATACTTACGTACCGTTTTCGTTAACTAGTTTGCGCACGCACACTTTTTGTTACTTTTTTTATGAAAATGTTCAAATTCGCAATCTTAAACGAGAAAAAACATACGACCTTAATTTTAATATTGAAAATAAGTACCTACATTCGATATTCTTATATGTATTCCTGCAAATGGTGTACAAATTCAGTTTGTGGAAGTATTGTATGGGAAAGAAATAGTTACCTATTTACATAAGTCAGGAAAATGATACATTACTGGCGAGGAAATATTGAAGTGCGAGGCCGAGTACTTTAATTTCCGAGTCAGGTAATGTCATTTTACTGACGAGTGTTGTATTAAATTTTACCTGAAATCGTGTTTTAATATAAAAACTTTTGAATAATGTCAATCTGTCAGTGCTGAAAGGAGTCATTATAGACATTTGGAAATGTCACAAATGCAGCCGGTAAAGTGACAGGTGCGGCCAGTAAAGTGACAAGCGGCAAGAAACGTATAGTCTGATCTGCGACTGGAAACTAAAATTTCCTGACCGAAAGTAGGTATGAAAATGAAGGTTTTAGGATGATTTTGGGTAAACAAAATTACCTATACCTATAGGTTCCATTTTGCATATTTAAAAATGCCTTTTTTATTATGTAAGGGAAACGATACGTTTATTACAATTAGGCGCGTCATGTAGCTATAAATGGAAAAATTCACTGATATAGCTTTTCATTACGTACGTTGACAGAAGGACAGACTCAAAAACAATAGCTTCTTTGCCTTTCGAAAAATACACCAAACATCATAGTGGGTTTCGAATTACCTTCATACAAAATAATCTTCTTATTACGCTTTCCCCTTTCACATTTTGGCTTTCAGCGTGAAAAGTCCAGTTCGGATTCGAGGAGATGGTATACTTACTACCTTTTCAACCCCTGATTGCTTAGAGATTTAGGTTGTATATCGTAGTAAAAGCCTTACTCTCTGTATTTAGAAAAATAACGTTTTATATTTGATCGTGTAAAAATATATAAATAATTTAAAATACAATCAATTCGTTACGTCGACTATTGTCCAAATTAATCAATAATAAGTTGCGTCTCTTTATATTTCTCACTCAACGCCCCGGCTAAAAATTCGTACAACTGAGAATTAACTATTCGTATACCTATCATCAGATGACAAAACAAATTTTCTTTCGATTACTGTCATTGTAAACCCTCTAAATTAGCGAGGGGGACAGCTATCTGCAAAAAAACTTTTTTCGATGTTAATTGTCTATGTTTGGTTTTAGAAGATTCACCCGGTATATTTTTCAAAATTTTGAAATGACATGTTTCTACCGTCAGCCATTTATATTGATTGGTATCGGCTGCCTTTATTACTATAGATACAATAAACAAAACAAAATCTCCGTGAATCCATGGCCTACTATTTAAAAACAGTTTTTATTGATTTTCATGACTTAAATTAAAAAAAAAATAGGTTGAATGCAAAAAATTGACGTTAAGATACTTACATTTAAAAATACCAACATTGGGTCAGATCTCATAAACGATGGCCGAAACATTTTTTACGCCACTGGATTATACGTAAAAATATCTAGCATAACTAGTTTTTACCTTCTTTCAGTCTTACATGGGTAATAAGATAATATGATAATGATAACGTACCAAAAAGTCAAACTTTTCGTGGTCACCCTGTATCTCGGAAACAAACCTTAGCTAGATTGATTCTGTTTGTTACAAAAAAGTGGCGCAGGGTAGCGCAAGTCTCTATCTTTAAAAACAGCGGAGATGCACTGCAGGCTCAACCAAAATAGGTCAAACAGTACAGGCATGGCGTACGGAAATTATGACCGGTTTGTCCAACTAGCACTGATAAAGGTATACACTTCACGATACCAAACAATACCTTCCCCAGCAACCGATCAAACTATTTCTGATGATCATGCTATTTCCAGTACATCTACAACACTGCATCTTTCCCCAGCTCTCTCTATTGTTATCACCTCAACCTGATAAGAAACAAGAAGAACATGTGACACCGTAACTTGTGATTTACAGTCAGATAATAAAATATTAAAATTGTAACCAACCGAAGCATTTAACAATCTAAATTTCACTAGGGGTTATAAGTTTAATGGTAGAGAGTAATATATAGAGTGGTCAAATTATAGGGTTAATAATTTTAGTAAATTGTAGGGAAGGTTGTAGTTTCCGGCGATCATCTTTTTTCTGCGTATGTAATTGAATTCTATAGCGTCTTGACAGTTTAATGGCTTTCGGATATCTGGGCGACAGCCTGTCCACGATAACAAAAGATAATTTTACCTTAATTAGTTAGGCGCTCCAACTCGCAAAAACAGGAATGCATTGTCTGTGTTGTGCGAATTCAATCTTGCAGGCAAACCAAACGCGTGGGATTATGATGAACTGATGCCTTACTCGCATGTAATTCGGGGAGTACAGCGAATCCGATTTAAAAGATAGTTCATTTAGGTAATGCGCGTCATTTTGAAGGAGTGTTAATTAATTCAAAAAAGATAGGTAGGGATTGATCCGGAGAAAGTTTTTGAAAGGATTCGGTTTTTACATTATTCAGTTATGCTTAAATGCGGACCCAAAAAAGTCCAGCCAATGACGTCCCGAATAACATAGTTACTTTGTCAACGACGACGAAAATGACAAATTCAGATATGCTATCATGATATCACGTAAATTCGAATGTTAATCTAATTATATGTATAATTGATCATATTGCATATTTTATCATGTAATGGACACAAAGTCGCCTCAGCAATCTGCCAAATGTGACTACTTGACAGTTTCTGGGTTCTTCATTAGGTGACGTCATTACTGGGATTGGGGAGTCCGCAATTTTTGGGGTCTGGGGCGTTTTTTTATCTTTGGCATATACAGTAGGTATCCAAATCCAAAAGTTCACAAGTACTGAAATATTTTTATGATTTTTAATGCTACCCGATTCAACTATAAGGCTTCTGCTATAAAATACACTCGTGAATTAACATCTTTCACTCAATGGTTAAAATATCCCTTTATCGTGTTATATAAAAAATAACTATATTAACTACTTACAATAGATTTGTAGATCAATCGTCCAAAGAACCAGCGGTTTTCGGAAAGGATACGTCACTGGATAGTGGTTTATAAAAATACAATGGTCTAACGAATGGAATATTATGCAAAATATTACGAAAATCCAACTCAACATAATGCATGCAGATGCCATATTAGAATCAATTCATAAAAAACGCAAAGGAAAACACAAAAAGCACGAACTTTAATCACTCGAGTATTCCAAGTGTAGGTATAAAATTCAAATACGCCATTACGAAGATTCGTCCAAATTCAAATGTAATTCGATTAATTGCCGTATCAAATTCGTCTCACTGAGTTACAAAAGGGCTATGAAAAACGATGTTAGAGGACAGAGAGAAAGATTCAATATTTCAGTGCAGAATCTTTTAAAATGGATGAATTAGAATACGCTATTTATAAAACTAAATCAGGAAATTGCCTGGCTCGGACGAAATATCCCCAAATTCATCAAAGTACTGGCTTCTTAAACTTTATAATGACATTTTAAAAACTGGAAATTTACCAAAAGGATTTAAACAACCCAAATTTTTAGTAAAATTAGAATAAAATCAAAGGGTGATGCATCTAGTTATAGAGTCCTATTAGGTACACTATGTGTATGTTACAACATAATTCTAAAATTATTTTAATGATGATCTACCGCAACCGCAAGCCCCTATTCTTTCGCCACTTCTCTTCAATCTCTACATTAGTAATTTACAGGGTCGCCGATAAGAAGGGTTAGCGGAAGTAAATGCCTCCGGGTACGGGCGCACACTGGGACGCATGTCAAGTCGACCTTCAATCCTGATGTTCAATCGTATTTTAAAAGAGAATTTTTGACGTATCGTGATCCTTAAGCGCTGAAGAGAAATAATTTTTTAACTTTTGCCAAAACTCGCGGGATAGTTTCGGTTATTTGAATAAGTTATAAACATTATCAAAAACAAGAAGTAGGTAAGGAAAAAACATTCTCTAATCAGAGCTAAAAAGATTATTGAGTCAAGTGATTGAGGCTAACAATGATCCTGCATACGATTTGCAACTTAAGGATTTAAATATTCAAAATTTCCTACTTTTCACTTAACAAAAATCAATTACCAAAAGGGACTTCTTTTGCGTGAAGATGCTCACGCACGTAAAAAATGTGCGATTTCAATTTTTTTTTCAATCAACAATTTAATGATAAGAGTGTCAGAGTGTCATCATTGGATAGTTGACTCAATTTACACATTTGTTGATGACGTACACATGTTCAAACATTTTAGTAAAGGAAATATAGAATAGTAATACATTTACGTGGAGATTTTAACTTAGCCACGGTGATCAATAAATACTTTTTTGGGTTTTCACTTCAAGATATATTAAAATTCAGATTCTGGCATGTTATATAACGGATCCACGAACACGGTGTTAAAAACCCGGAAGATGGATTCAAAAAAACTAAATTTATTTAAATAGTTTACCGTTCAGCAGTACAAGTGATTTTCGGTGTTGAGTGAGTTTATATGCATCTTAATAAATATAAAAATAAAAACTTACCCTTAGCCTTATCTCTACTCAATTTGCCATTGGAACGATACACAATCACAAACCGCCACTCTTACACATTTGCAAATACTGCACGCAAAATTGTTTGGTGAAGCGATAACAAGTAGAGGTCGGCGTCGGTGCGGCCTTTTTAATTGAAACTTTAGTGTCTCAGGAACTCTCCCTCCGTCATGAATTATTCCCTGTTTTGCCAAGTAAAAAATAAATTTTAAATAGGAGTGTGTCAAGTAGGTTGGTTTGGTTGCCAATAAACTACTACGGGTAGGGTGTGGGGTAGACACGATTTTCTCCTTCATAGTATTGTAAAAAGCCCGGGAGTTGTTTTCTATCAACTTTGGTCCCATTCCCTGACCCTACCTATCAAGGTCGGTTGTACCACCTTGTCTACAATATTGGAATATTTATTTGTTTTATTTTCGGTCTTTATTTTTAAGTGAGCGTGGTTTCAGCCTATGTTACTCTACCAACCTAACCCACTACATATTTACAAATATCGATGCCCGAACCAGGATTTGAACCAGGGACCCTTAGTACCGCAGTCGAGCTTCTGCAGCCTACACCACTGCGCGCCACTCAGGCCAACTAACTAGTACAAGTTCTTATTTAAAACAAATTATCACACCTCCTGGATATTAAATAAAAATTTAAAACCCACACAACAGACTGACGTTACTGAACTTGAAATTTTATAATGGGTGCGCTTATCATTTATAAAAAAATACACAAATTTATTCACGGGATAAATTCCCGTAAACTGACCTCTTCAGGAATGTTATAGAATGACTTTGTGTGCATTTTTGAAAACAAATTGCATCGACTTTGTACCATCCGCTAACATATAAGCTAATGACAATATTATCACATCAACATAAGGATTTTGATCATATACAAAATTATCTCGTTGAAAATCTCAAAACGATGAATAACTAGATACTTCAGTGCCTAGCGAAACAAAAACTGAAACCTTGTTTTCATATTTAAAATCAAAACAGAAACTGAAATTGAAATTAAAAGTTGGTACCTAATTAATGGAGTTTTAAGACATACTTTTAGTTCCATCTAAGTGTTTTTCTTGATATGACGCTATATTGTCATATAGGTATACCCAATCACAAAATAAAATTCCTTGAGCTTTTTTTTAACTAAAATGACTTTCTGTAGATTGAGGTATAATTTGTATTAAATAATTGTAAAATATGCGTATTAGTGCCAAGTAGAGTAGAGTGCAATTTACGTTGCATATCTTTACATTGGCTGTTTGATTTCTTGTAAATATATTTTTACAATATTATAAATAGATGGAAATATCTTTAAGTGCGACGTATAACATTGTTATTAATTACATTGTTTTTCTATTCATTGCATAAAATACTAATACAACTAATACTATTACAAAATTAAGACCGATAATACAACTTTTCTTAAATACACACGTTCTTTTCATCATTATATAAGAAACTATCATCAACTAATTGTTAGAGTGTTAGACGTTAGACTTATAAAAGTAGTATTTCGTAAGAAAGTTTTTCGATCTTTTCATATAATGATGGATTCACTAAGTTACATTAAACAGTAAATGTAACATTTAGATTTACGTATTGTTTACTTTACTGTTTATTTTTTATAATTTACTTACTCACTACGTGTAATAAAGAAAGCACAAATGTTTTATTGCTTGTAATTTGAATCGTATTAGTATTTTATGCCAAAGTGTTTTAAAAAATCAACTATCATCGACTTACCCTATTCATCGAATCCGTCCAAAAACCATAGTTGAATGCAAACAAAAATTTCATTTTATTTAAGTTGGTATTACTTTAATTTTCCTCTTTGTACGTTGGTATTTTGTATTATGACATTTAAATTAATTGACAACTAACCACTTTTTTTAAAGAATGGAAAATAGAACAAATTTTCTGGATGAAAAATCTCCACGTATTTAATATTTCACAGCTGTTAAAACTTAATTTTAAAAGAAATCGAGAAAATGTGGGAAGCAGGAGCAAGATACAATAAATAAAAGCCTTCTCTTCATTCAAAAATTGAAACATTTCCTAGTTTTATAAGATCAAAATATGTCTGGAATTTACGGATACAGCCGCGAGGCTGTGAGGGTTAAAGTTAAGGTAATCTTAAACTTCTTTTAAAGTAAATGCTTCAATTGGTGCAGTTGCAGAAACACGAGGGAGCAATTCAGCCAGAATTTAGAAAGTTTAGTGTTGACCCGCAAATCACATCATTTGAGGTTTTGCAAAGTATCTTAGGTAAGGCTTTCGATATCAAAGGAGAGTTCGCAATAAGTTATAAATTAAACGATGTTCACGGAAATGAATTCTATATGCCACTGCTGTCCGACTGGGAATTAGATGCCGCATTTTTAAAGTATTATTAAACGTAGTAGAATCTGTCTTTTAACTTTGTGGTGTTTTAGAGCTTACAATTTATCATTAGGTAGTAGTTCGGAACCCTGCTTATGTCTTAAAGTTGATCTGAAACCCTTCGAAGAGAGCTCCGATGATTGGGAACTTCGAAATAACGTCCATGTCATTACGCAAATACGTATGGGTACAGCTCAAGAGGCGAAGCCTCCCGCTCCACGTCTACACGGTATTATTAATCAGGTTCGTGCAGGGGTTCTGTACAAGTACGGCGACGGCTGTATCATATGGTGTATAATTTTAGGTTGGCAAAACTTTAAATATGGTGCAGAGGGCCTTTAATTTTGGCGATGACAGTGGTACTTCATTGCAACCGCCTCGTCCTCCACTCTCAGACTCTGAGTTCCGCAATTATTTAGATCCTGTCGGACAGATAACACACGCAAAGGAGTTGAGATCTGTTATTTATTTTGGAGGAATTGATTCTAGTTTAAGGTGAATGCCAGTGCTTAATAATCATATCTCAATTGTGCCCCATTTACATAAGCTTTTGCTCTAATAGATAAGAAATATGAAAATATGTTTGCATATCAGACACCTTACTTGGCATGGCTGTATATATGAATGTTTATACACTGTAATTCTACACGATTGCAACATACATTGTTCCACTCCGAACTACTAAGAAAATGTTATACAGGGCGTCCCAGATTTGAGATATGACGCAATCGGTTATGTTTTTTAAATGGCCAACTTAATTTTTAATGATTACTCTTAATGAGTATAGGTATCAGTATTATGCCAAATTGCCATTCGATTTGCTTATATAGTCCGGTCAAGTTAACATGAAAAATAGGGGTACCCTTGCATAAATTCCCAAGAAGCTGAAAATTCACATGAACGGTATGGATACCATTGTAATGAAATTTTGAAAAGTCCCCATCGATCCCATATGTGCAAAAATTTTTATTCAAGGTCAAAGTTCGCAAAAATGGGTTTTCTGAATTTTTTAGCGAAACGTTTAGTTTTATGATAAAAATAGTTCAGACAAAGATTGTAGGTCATGCAATTATATACAAAAAATGTCCTTACACCTTTTCTCCTAAGATTCAGTACTTCTGAGAAAAAGCGATTTCAAAATTTACTAAAGCTGTATTCTCTTAGAGAATTCTATTAGATATTCTATGCACACGTTTCCATGCCACCTGTGAGGTAGTGTATTTGACGCGTTTTTTTAACGTGGTTTCCCCAGTAGTCCTACTCCACAGTTTATTTTATTTAATCCTCGATTTAATCCTAGTAGGAGAATAGGTCTTCTCATTCAATTTACAAAAATGTAATGTGTGGTCATGTGGTGATGTACCTACTGAAGAAGGGAAAGCAGTAGGTCTTGAGGAAATATATCCATTGCATAAGGTCAGAAGCTGTAAGAGGTATGACTCGAGAATGGAACGTCGTACGAAGTTCAATGACTCATAATGATGAGTCTCAATAAGATGCACTCGCTGGTGATACTTAGATATCTAATTATTAGTATACAGGGTTGCTGGAAACAGTTGATTATCGTGAAAAATATAAAAGATATCAAAAAAAGTATTATACAAAAGCTTATAATTTTAATTATACAGGGTTGGTCACAAAGCTGTGGCACACCAATATAGAATTTTTTAAATGAAAAACTATATTATTCGATATTTCAATTCTTCTCTCAATTTTAAGCAAAACTTTTATGAATCATAGTGTCCCAAATTCAATTGTTTCCGGGTTATCAAGTTTTGAAAATAAACACAGATATCAAAAAAAGTGTGATACATCAGTTTTGGAGTTCTTAAATGTTTACTAGGCAGTAATAATTTTATTTATACAGAGTTGGTCATAAAGGCGTGGCACACCAAAATTGCATTTTTTTATTGGAACACCCTGTATATTTCAATTGTTTTGGTTTATCGAGTTTTGAAAGTAAACGCTATTGTTTTAAAATTTATTGAATGAAGAACAATAATAAATGACATCACGAATTTCTTTTATTATCATTATGTGGTTCTGAATAGAACCGATTGTGATGTTTGTTTTGAATGTTTGAAATCATTAATTATTGTTCTTTATTCAATTTTAATAAATTTTAAAGTAACAATGTACCATGTGTACTATTTTGGTGTATCTCAGCCAGTGGCGGCTCGTAAGCTGCGTAGAAGGTAGTGCCAAATTGTGTCCCCCTCCCCATTATTTTAATAGTTACAAATTTTTGTTTTCATATTATTCCAGTTATTTAGATTTTGAGTATAATTCGAATATTTATAATGCAAGTGACGGAAAAAAATCTAGCCCCTTTAATTTCTTTGGAGACTTTTTTCATAAGTATACTTCAAGTATGCATTCCAGTAATTCATGTTGTGTTGTTTTAGATGAGAATTAGCGGATTTTTTTGACAAAAAATCGTATGGAAAGTGTTACTTTTTTCACGATTTGTACTATCCGTTTCCATGGCGTTTAGTCCGATCTATAAATAATAGCAACATTTTATTTGCAGTTTTATTAAGGAGGCCGAACTATCATTTTCAACAATAGTTGTATAAATAACTATTCAAATCTTTATCTAAACAAGTACTGAAATTTATTAATTCTCTGAATATCTACTCCTTTATTTGCGGATTTATCGCTATTGTCGTGTCCTCTTAAATTAGATTCAGACGCATTTCGTTTTCTAACAATATTTAAGTCCGGTAACGGCCTGCTTAATTGCTTTATTTAAAGACTATCTTCCAGAGAATGTATGGAAAAAGGGTTGTTTAAATGATTTTTTAATTTGTGTATTTTACGTAACAATTAATCCGGGAAGTGTAATCTTACACAGAAGTAAAAAAAATTGTTTGACTTATCACGATTGAAACAAGGAAAACGGCGCAAAGCATAGTAATACACGTACACATTATTCAATTGTGCTTATGAGCCAAACTTCTGATGGCTCAAATTGTACGTATAAAACGCTACTTCGGTTTCGCTCCTCCCACCCCTCTACTCCCCGCGGAAGTCTACACTTGTAGGAAAATACGAGCCAGTTTCAGTTTGGCACGGCTCGACCGTATTTGAAGTCCACGGATAAGCACAAATGAATTCTTCTTGGTACCTAATTTATCAAATCATTTACTTTTTTGTTTTAAGTTTTAAAGCACAATTATGTACTCTAGTGAGCACAATTAATAATAGTTAATTATATTTTAAGAATTGATAATTAGCAGGTTCCTTGAGGTGGTGCCATGACTCCTTGGCTCTTTATAGAGAGCCGCCTCTGATCTCAGCTGTTTTTAAAGCTAGAGACTTGCGGTTTTCGGGACCATGTCCCACTTTTTTGTGAAAAGTTTTAATACCACAAATAGAATCAATCTAGCTACGTTTGTTTCAGAGATACAGGGTGAAAACGAAAACTTACTATAATATTACTATCCTTTAACATAGAAAAAGGTAAAAACTGCACACTTTAGTCATTTTGACGTATAGTATCCAGTGGTGTAGTAAACAAAATTACCCATAGTTCATATTTTTTAAATGCAACACCCTGTATATCTTGACATTAATTCTGTTTGCATTCTTTTCCCTGATTATATTTATGTAGGTTGTGACACATCAATTTAAGCAGGAAAAAGAATAAAAAAAATTGACGTTAAAATTTACAGGGTGTTGCATTTAAAAAATATCAACTTTGTATTCAATCTCAGAAACGATAACCCAACATTTTTTTTACTACGGCACTAGATTCTGCGTAAAAATGTCTAAAATAGGCAGTTTTTGCCTTTCTCTGTGTTAAATATATGGGTAGCGAGGTATTCGAGGTAGTCAAACTTTTCGTTAATTAATTGATACAGCATATGAGGTTATACTTATTTGCCGTTCTAACACATGGCATTTGGGTTAGAGAGCAAATGGGTTTTACGAACAGCGGACGGTGACCTAAGTATGATACGTTACAGGCGTTTTAAATGAAAGTTGCTGCGCCAAAAAAAGATAACAACAGGTAAGGAAGGAGTGTCACTGGCTTGTGACTTTTAAGTGGATGTCCAAACCTGCCTCACCTGCTGTTATCTCTTTTTTGGCGCAGCAACCTCCATTTAAAATGCCTATAAGGTAGAGCATAATTCTTAGTTCACCGCCCGCTGTTCGTAAAACTAGCGGTAAAGATGCCTCATACGCCGTATTAATCTAAGCGCTAAGGTAATATGCGAACTTTCAGGAAAAAGTGGTATAGGGTCGCGAAAACCGCAAGTGTATCTTTAAAAACAGCTCAGATACATTTCAGTCTCAACCATAATTGGACACAAGGTACAAGTTGATGTATAAGTAGGGTGGTAGGAAAAGGTCGATATATATCATAGCAGATTATCATTTTCAGAAAAGTGGTCTGGAAACATATCTTAAATGTTTACCCAGATGGTATGAGTGGTCGTGAACGTATGGATTACATTAGAAGAAAAGCATCTGAGTATATTGCATTGCGAGATACATGGAAAGCTGCAGTTGCGAGGGGTCCCGTTGTGGGGGAGTTGGCGTACACAACTGGGATGGTGAAGAAAGATGTACTGCGAACTGATAGACATCACAAGTTCTATGCAGGTAGTGATGATAATCAAAACATTGCGTCATTATTTAACATACTAACCACGTGAGTGCCAAAACACATTTGGCTATTGCCAATTTTCCAATTTTCAGGTACGCATTAAATCATCCTAAGGTTAGTTACTGTCAGGGAATGAGTGACCTTGCTTCGCCTTTATTGGTTACTATGGGCGATGAAGCGCACGCGTATATTTGTTTTTGTGCCCTTATGTCGAGATTGAGTACTAATTTTATGTTGGACGGTATCGCCATGACGCAAAAGTTCACTCATCTAGCGGAAGGGTTGATGTATTATGATCCAGAGTTTTATAATTACTTAAAGAGTCACCAGGTGAGCACCATCAATTCGATTAGAAATAAACTGTAAGTGTGTTCTAGGCTGACGATCTTTTGTTCTGTTACCGGTGGTTGCTGTTGGAAATGAAACGTGAATTCGCTTTTGAAGATTCTTTAAGAATGCTCGAGGTACTTTGGAGTTCGCTTCCGGCCGATCCACCAGATGTGGAACTGAAATTGTTCGATACGAAATTTCAACCACCCATATCAACTCCTCCCATTAGTCCTCTCGTTAAAACTCCGCGTGAGAGCGCTTATACGAAGGTGTGCGCATTGAGAAGGCAAAGTTCTTCTATATCATTAGTAAATTATTCCGCCAAAAAGCCTTCAGTTATAAAACGACAAAACCACAGCCTAGACGAAAATGTAGGTAGATTAAAAAATGTTATATCGGATAATAAGAAGAAGCACCAGAGTTTGGACGACGCGACAATACAACAAAAACCTAGCAGAATGATTAGCGAGCAACACAAACATAGTCCAATACTCAAGTCTCCAAGATCCCCTAAAAACGATCTTCGACCTAGGTCGATATCGCCGCATGAATCAAAATCGGATTCCGTTGTCTTAAATAACCACATTAACTCCCATAAAAACGCATTCAAATTACGCAGTTCCAGCCTTTCGTCTAGCATGACGAACTTAATCAAAAACTCAAAGAGAGGGGGACATTTTAAAGACTTAAAAGAAAAAATCACAGCGGGCAAGGTCGGTATTTTTTCGTCATTAGACAGATTGGACATGACAAACTCGATCAAGGAAGAGATCGAAACAAAAGAGCAAAACGCGAAACTGGTGAGAAATTTTAACGAGTTCATGCACTTTGCGAGCATAAATAAAAACAAAATATCCGATAAGTTGATCAAATTGGGGGCGTCGACCGAAAGCGGTATGGACAAGCCGAAAATCTACCTGACCAAGTCGAGCTTCGACGATTCGGAATCGTCGAGCGTCGATCATACATCGACCACTGAAAAAATTAGGCAATATTCTTCGACTTCCAATAGCTGTGATGATACGTTCGATGATTGCAGTCCGGATGACTCGCAGGAGTACTTCCCGTTAACGACGTCGGTAACGAAAGAGTTGAGGATGGAAATGGAAAATTTAGATAGGCAAGTTTTTGGCGGTAACATTCAGGATTGTCTTTTGGAATCGGATTCTTCGTGTAGTGAAGCCAGTAGCAAAATGTAAGTACCTATTTTTATTAAAGTCATGACATCTTCTAATTATTATTAAAAAGATCATGTCAGTTTGAGTTTGGGAAAAGTAGAACATGTCTTTACGCCAAAATGTGATTTTTTGTTTGTTTGCCGAGTTGTTTGCATTACGCAATTAAATACACATGGTTGGTAAGTATTTCAAGATTGATAAACGCCAACTTACAATACTCCCTATACTTGAGTATCTCAATGATTCTAATATACGAGGGTTGTCCAGAAAGTTGCAGACGTTTTGAAATAAAAAATTTTAAACTTGTAAAGCAAATTTATTATTATATACATTTGCACTTATCATAGCGTGGCACAAGTGTTTTGATTCCAACGTTTATAAATTCTCCGCCCGACAGTCTTATACTGAAGCCAAATGATTCAAGTAGATTGCTGATTGCCGGTCCGATTTTTAAAACTGCACATTAAACTCACCCGTGATTATGATTCCTGCTCTAGTAAAACACGTAAGCCTCCTTGCGGAGATCTGGAAACATTTTGACATCAAATGGTAGATTAAAAAAATTATGGTAAGTTTTGACAAAGATTCCGACGCCTCGGTCCCCGACTGTGCATAGATCTACACATTACAGAGATGTTAACATAGTATAACGAGAGCATTTAGGTTTGGATTTATATTTTGGAATTTTTTCTCGCAAAAATAAGTAAAGTATGTCAAGGTTCTGAAATGTCTTCCCAAACAAATTTTGGTCATGATGATGTAAAGAATTTATCTGGTTGATTGCGTTCCATGGGATGTGCGTCACGTCTACCTATTTATTTTGTATGGGCTCTTGTTATTTAATGGATTTACGCAACAAGATAGCCTGGAAACTTTTGAGTAGCTTGTTTTGAGAAAGAAATGTGATTGATTAACGACTTTGAAAAGCATTTCAGAGTAGTACAATGCGATCAAAAATGAGTTGCTTTCGAGTCACCTTTGGAATTTTTGTTTACATGGGAAATCGTATTTAACTTGAACTTCCAAAGGCGACTCGACAGCAACTCATTTTTGATCGCCCGTTAGTAAGAAAGACACTAACCATTTGGAATGATAATCCGCCCTTAGGGGCGTTCAAAATTTTACTCGATAATTAAGAGAGGGGGATTGGTTTTGGAGAACTTGGAAGCATTCGCGTTTTGCGATTCGAAGCGATCAGTATGAGAGTTTTGCGTTTTTGTCGTTGGAGTGACTAGATTATTGACGTGGTATCGGAAGACCGAGGATTTTAAGGTCCCTTTTCAAAAAGTCAAATCGTTTTGGCCAGGAATCGTAATCGCCAAAATTTACGGAGGTTCCAGTCTTGTAAAGAAAGTAGTTCACCCCCACCTCACCTCGGTCTAAAATGGACACTTGTAACTTCCAAAATGGAACATTGGATTTTGACTTTCATCTCGGGATCAGGATCAGGACAATATTTACATCAAAATGATGTAGAATTTATAGTGAATTTAAATTGAAAACCAAAATTCGAGACGGCAGGCAAACATAAATAAAGGTACATAAGCGTTCCGTCACGGCTTAGTGCGAGACACAAACTACTAACTAAAGTATGAGCGCTTATGATAGTACTATTATACAGGGTCGCCTATTAAAGATTGAACCAAAGCTCTCACCCTTAAACCATTTGAGATAGACATGACAATTAGAACGACTCCATTTGAAATTATTTCACATATTTTGAGGTTAAAATTTTTGTTGACACATGATTTTTAAGTGCGACCGCCATCTTGAATTTTGTAAATGGCAACATTTTTTATACAATGCGATCAAAAATGAGTTGCTGTCGAGTCACCTTTGGAATTTTTGTTTACATGGGAAATCGTACTTAAAGCCCGTTTGTAAAGGTGCGTATACATCTGCCGAACCGAGCATGTAATGTAACGTGTAATGTAATGCTTGTTTGATTTAAACAGTACGAGCGCGAACATATTCGTAGGTCGCTCCATTCATGCTTGACCATTGCAGGCGAATTGTTTTTCAGTGGTTGTGCAGAAATTGTTTATTTATTGTGCCATGTCTTCCAATGAAGAAGCGATAGCATTGTTGTTAGCAAGCGGATCGATAGTTATTATTATGGAAGAGATGCGTAAAAGAAAAACAAGACGAGACAGACGATGGTGGAAAACCGAATTATTCAAAAAACGAACAGGATCTGAATTACTGCTTGATATGAAGATTCAGCACATTAGCGGACAATACAAAAACTTCACTAGGATGACACCAAGTGATTTTGAAAACCTTCATCTGACCACTGCGCCATTTTAAACAAGCCTAAATGCTCGCAAGCACGTCAAGAACAGGAAGGTTAAACTAAAAACACGTCCCAATCGAGCACGCGAATCCCTTTGTGCTCGTCACAAAAACCGACTTTTGACGGAGCGAGCGAGCACACTGCGAACCTGTTCGCTTCGTGCTCGCGGCGCCGTCCCAATTGTCCGAATTTGTTACATTACGCGTTACATTACATGCTCGGTTCGGCAGATGTATACGCACCTTAACGATCACTTATTTAGTCATTTTTTAAATAATTTTTTTAGGAACAAAAAAATTGAACATTTCATACATCAACTTTGACCAATTTTTTGGTAGTTATTTTAGGAACTGAAAGTTGTCCTATTTTTTTAATGTTCAGAATCTGTCCTATTTTCCCTCAATTTTTTAGTAACTTTTGACAGATTATAGGGAATTTGTAAAATTAAAATTAAATTTATATTCATTTTTAAAGCTCACTATAATACGTTGACAGTAGATAGAGACCTTAGTTAACAGAAGATAAATATTTAGTCTCCAGATTTAATATAACATAGGTTATGTACAGGGTGGCCAACTAAGAATGCGAGGTACTGTATCTGAGAATCTATCCATCGTAGAGGCTTGCGGTAAAAAAATTTATTACTAAAACGGCCACGAGAAAAACCTGGAAAATATTTTTAAGTTTCTGCAATGGCCGCTAGGGGGCGTAACTGCAATCTGGAATCTAAAAAAGTGATTTTTCTGTGAATTCCGCTATATTAACCTAACAAAAAAATGTCCGGTCTTTGAAGTTGACGATAATCTGAACAATTTTTGTTTGACAATTTTTCCTGTATCTCTAAAAATGAAGTGGTGGGGGGTATTTAAAGGTTTCCGTAAAGAACACCTGTATCTTCGAAACGGCTGATCCGATTTAAACAAACTTGGGTTAGTTCAAAAGAGCTATTCTTCAGCTACAACTATTATACTATTTGAAGTTTTGTTAGTTTCACATATCACCGCTTGAGGGCTTTTTTCGACATTCCGACAGAAATGGTTAATTTTCTCAAAAAAATTAAATGCATTGGTTCGATTTCTTTTTCATGAAAAAGTAGGTAAATGATGCCTAAACAAGCTCATAAATTATATAATAAAAATAATTCCGGAAAAATTTGCTTAAAAAAATAAAATTTTGAGGGTATAAAATTTTCTTTGGCCTAAATATTAGGTTAGGAACAAGATATCGAGATGCGGTTTTCGCGAACTTGTTTAGGCATCATTTAGCTACTTTTTCATGAAAAAAAAATCCAACCAATGCATTTAATTTTTTTGAGAAAATTAACCCTTTCTGTCGGAATGTCGAAAAAAGCCCTCAAGCGGTGATATGTGAAACTAACAAAACGTCAAATAGTATAATATTTGTAGCTGAAGAATAGCTCTTTTGAACTAACCCGAGTTTGTTTAAATCGGCTCAGCCGTTTCGAAGATACAGGGTGTTCTTTACGGAAACCTTTGAATACCCCCCACCACTTCATTTTTAGAGATACAGGAAAAATTGTCAAACAAAAAAGGTTCAGATTATCGTCAACTTCAAAGACCGGACATTTTTTTGTTAGGTTAATATAGCGGAATTCACGGAAAAATCACTTTTTTAGATTCCAAATTGCAGTTACGACCCCTAGTGGCCATTGCCGAAACTTAAAAATATTTTCCAGGTTTTTCTCGTGGCCGTTTTAGTAATAAATTTTTTTACCGCAAGCGTCTACGATGGGCAGGTTCCCAGATACAGTACCTCGCATTCTTATTTGGCCACCCTGTACAAATGTTTACATTTTACTGGTACTAAAAAATTGATAATATTATGGAATGTTACATACAGTTTCATCATTTATGACATTTTTAGGATAGCATTATCTTTATTGAAGAAAAAAAGGACTAAAAATTTGACTAAATAAGTGATCGTTACAAACGGGCTTAACTTGAACTTCCAAAGCCGACTCGACAGCAACTCATTTTTGATCGCCAGTTAGGTCTTTTGAGGTAACCTTTGGCCTAACTTTTAGACAGGAAATATTGTTGCTAGTATACCCTACTTGAAAGGAACTATATAATTACTTCTTTTAAAGGTCAATAGTAAAATTTGAATACAATGATACCCTACCACAGCTTACGATGATAGTAAGTAAGCTGTGACCCTACTGTATAGCTTTTAAAAGAAAAAATAATAAACCAGCATAGTATTTATTCAAAAACCAGTACAGATTTATTGAGATTACATTCTAATGAGTCTTTATGTTATGGACAGTATCGATAAATGTTTTAACAGATTCTATCTCCATATCTGGATAAATTCCATGACCCAAATTAACTATGTAACGATTAACCCCAAACTTTGCGATCATATCTTTCACATATCCTTCCAAATCCTCTTTAGGTGCATATAAGGCACAGGGATCCAAATTTCCTTGATAAGTTACATTACAGTTTCTTTTCATAGATTCTATGTTGACAGTCCAATCGACCCCTAATATTTCGTAACCTAATTCCGCCTGTTCTTCTAAACAGAAAGATGCGCCTTTGGCAAAGAGCACCACCGGCACATCTTCCAAGTTACGTTGCTTTAACTTATCTTTTACCTCCTGACGTATCCTTTTCAAGTACGGCAAACCGTATACTTTATACAGGGATTTATTCAAATATTCGGCGCTAGTGTCGAACAATTGCAAAATCTGAGCACCGGCCTCTACTTGCATTACAAAATAATCTATAATCACATTGGTTAGTAAAGTTAGTAAGCTGTGCGATTCCTCTTTATGAGCGTATAACCACCTCTTAGCCTTCGAGAGTGTCTTAGATCCACCTCCCTCGATCATGAAGGCCATTAGTGTCCAAGGTGCACCGGAGAAACCGAACAGCGGAACCGTACCTTCCAGCTTATGCCGTGTCAGCGTAATCGCCTTCCCCACATAATCTAAACGAGCAATTGCATCTTTACTATCCAACTTGCTCAAATTGTCGAGTGTCAACGGTTCCGGAAAGTAAGGTCCCTTATCACCCATTTCGACGATCATTTTCAGCGCCTGTGGTATAACTAATATGTCGCTGAAGATGATAGCAGCATCGAAAGCGAAACGTTTAATAGGCATTAGCGTTACGTTGCACGCGAGGTAAGGTTCTTGACAAATTTCAAAAAAGCCATGCTGCTTGCGGAGTTCACGGAATTCCGGTAAATAGCGTCCCGCTTGTCGCATGATCCATATTGGAAGTTTATCTGGTGTTTCACCTCTTGCTGCTTTTAGTAGACGATTGTTTTTTAATATCGGAAAGTTTTTTGGAGTTAGCATGTGTGTTTCGTATATGCTTTTATCACAATATGTTAATTCGTGTCCGTCTCCTGACATTGTTACGAATATTTAATGAAAAAGCCAAGAATTGTAAAATAAAATTGCAAGTAACATGCAGGTTAGAAAATTGGCAGTGTCTCTACTAATGCCCACGGGAACAGCGGTCGGCGATAATTGAAATGAATTAAGGCCGTTTTACAGGCTCCAATATATACACCTTTGTTGAATCATTTATAATTATTCCATCTACCGTTAGTACTTTGGGTATAGACCAGGGGTAGTGTTGGATAAAGCGTCGCTCTAAATAATTCTTATGTATATCTATAAGCGCCCACTTAGCCCCTATTTGGCTTTTCAAACTCTTTCTACAACAACAAAAAAACAAACCACTAGCATAAATGCTCATTTGTCAATTTTTCTATAAAAGATCAAAGATCATTCACAAATTCATATCTCTTAAACCGTTCAAGATAGTGTGCTCTTTGTATAATCGAATTCTTAAAGTATAAGGAATTTCTCGAGTGCCCGCACGAAATTTTTTGCTCCCCTATTTAGAGATTTAAGGAATTTTAGGAAAATTTTTGTCAAATCAAAACAGGAATACCCAGAATTGGAACTCGCGCAGGTGTAAGCTGTTTTTTTACCTTGAAAAATGCGCTAAAAAGTATCGCATATTACTGTAACATATTTGGTGTGCTGTGCTCAGTGAAAAAAAAAATCGCTGAGAAGCTCTTTTGTTTTACCATTTTGACGGCTTTTTAACAACATCTGCTGGGCTACCTATATAATGGTTGTGTTCTCCATAATTACTGAACAATTTTCCTTTAGTTGTGTTTTACGCTAATGGTAACCTGAGTCTTTAATTTCAGAAATATCACATCCCTATCTAGAAGTTCGTGTGATGGTCATGGAACAGACACAGCAGTTGGCAACGCCGAAACTTCTCCAATACTAGAATTAAATCTTCAACGTAGTGATAGTAAATTATATAATAGTTTAACAAAGCGCATTAGTAAAACAGACAATGTGTTTCTGTGGGAAAATCCATTGCACAAAAGCAGTCCTAATATAAGCATAAAAAACATTCCTACGCCAGATGAGCAGTTAGATATAGACTACGACAAAGAAGTTGGAGAGGCTCAAATAGTTCCAAACAAGTCTGCTAATACTAGCGCTCCAACAGGAGTAAGTGAGAATACTATCACGAAAGAGGAGCCTCCAATAGCTCTTACGAATTCATGTGAAGAAGTTACTGAAAAGTCATCGAGCATGTTACCTCCCCCTAATGAATTTGGCGGCGGCAATCCATTCCTTATGTTTTTGTGTATCACTGTACTATTGCAACATAGGAGCCAAATTATCTCGCAGGCCATGGATTATAATGAAATGGCAATGCATTTCGATAAAATGGTAAGAAAGCATAATGTAAATAAAGTACTTAATCAAGCGAGACAAATGTACGCCGGCTATATTAAGCAACACACAATGGCTCAACAAAAGATTATTTCTTGAAATACTTAACAATACTTCACAATTCTCATGTGAAGTGCACTAATTTTATTTTCTGTGATATTCTACTAAGTGTAGTTAAAAGATCTTTGTCAAGAATGAGTATTTGCATGCACAATTTCATAAATCACCAAAATCATTTTCTTTCTATTGCGAGTTGTTAATGCTGGTGAGTGTACCACAAATTTAAATGATCTATTCTCTGCTCTGTCTTCATTACTGAACTTTTGCAAGGGTGAACATGTTTTAATAATGTTTGTTGCTTCAACTACATTTTGTGGGCCATAATTCTAGTAAGCTGGTTACAAAACGTGTCCACCTTTATTATTGAATAGGGACCACTGGTACATCAATGTAGGCACCATTGCCCTCAACTAGAATATACTTGAAATTGTAAAATTAGCCGAGCTTGTATTAAAAAAACAAGATTTCCAAAAACTTGACTTAGTGTTAGGGTATGTGTGGCAGTCCAAATGGAAGACTTTCAAACAATAATCAGCATAGAAAAAACACACAAATAGAAATCCAACAGGGATAAGTTTTGGTGTTCTGAGAAAGCAGGGACGATATCTCAGTTATGAGCTGAATTAGATTTTATACCGGAAATAACACTTGCGGAGTTCACCACCGCAGGGCGCTGTGCGCATCCTGGTAAAATTTCCATATAAAATGTACGATCCGACGTCGGACTTCTACTTGTGTGGTTATTCCATGTCAGAAGTCTAAAGCAATAATTGATAGATGGAAGTAAAAATGTTCACCCTGTACAAAAGTGTTTTAAAACATTTTCCATAACACCCTCGACATGTTTTAATGAATATAAAATTTAGGTTACAATGTGCCTAATAATATAGACAAATATCATTTTGAAGAACATTTCAATTTACAAAATAATCTTAATAATGTATTTTGTCTAAAAACTCCTATATTTAATACAGAACGTAAGTTGAATGTTGCTTCTCAGTGAGAATGTTCTATTTGTGTTAATGTGGGGGTGTCGTTAACGTAAATTAAGGGCTGTCTGTAGTTAACTAAGTACTGCAAATCGCATTTAATTTTAAAAAGTTGTTTGGTTATGTTAAGTGTAAAGTGAGAAACTTCTGGTGGGTATTCCATTTTGTTACTATTTATTGTATTGCTGAACTTGTATAGTTATAGAAAATAAATTTTCAGATTATATGTACTGACTTTTCTCTTTGTATCCACGATTAATAGAGTAGGTAATTGGACAAAGTTTTAAACTGTAACTTGTTATGGAACAGTCAATATTTACACCAATCAAGCATTGCTTTTTGTCTCATTAATTGATAGTGACGAAGCTGAGAACATGCTGGGTAGCGTGAGCGCTGCCCAACCTGTTTACCTCCCATAGAGATAAATTCTGGGCTCAGTTACTCAGGATATAGAATTGTTTTTGTACTGGTGTTCCATTTTCGACTATTTCTTTATTATTGATTATGTATACGGGATCAACAAAAAAAGTTATACAACCTAAAACCCCATTTTTTTAAATGGAACACCCTGTATATTTTAATTTAAAAAACCTTTTCACAAATGTAACACACTAGGGATATAGTCATTAAAAAAATGTTGAACTGATAAAAAGAATACAAAAAATTTCAAATACATTTTTAAATTGTATTTGAATACATTTTTGAATTCTACGTGTCTACGCCTTTTTTATTATATGGTTAATATCGGAAAAGCTAGTAGTTTTAAAGATAATTCGATTTTTAAGAAAAATTGGGCATTTGCAAGCCTCAGTATACATTGTCAAAATTATTACTTAAATTTTGATTCCAAGTTTTATATCTTTTATCCTGGGTTAAGTAAAAGTAAAATAAATACATCTACTATAAAACATTAAAAAAATAGCTTACAGGCTGTTTTTTTCTAGATCCAAAGTTACAAAACTTCATATTAAAAAATCTCACTTTTTTTAGATGGAACACCCTGTATATTTCTCTGTCATCTTTTAGCTCCTCCAAAAACCTGCGACTTTTGATAATAATTCCCTATATCTATCTCTGATAGTTTCCGAAACATCTTGGTTTCTGGTTTTTATATTCTTCTTAAATAAGTTATATGTAATTTACAGAATAGTGAGGTGGCCATGCAAAAAAAGGCAATTTTTATCTGCCTCTTTGAAAGCTAAAATCATATTTATTAATTCATTTTTCTAATAATTCATTTAAGTAATAAAAACTTGAGAATAAATGTGATAGTAAAAACATAAACAAATATCTTGGTTTTTCTACTTTTTATATTTTAATCTGAAATAAGTTCTAATTTACATAATATCACTGAATTTAAGCTATGTTTCTAAATTTCACAGTCTCCTCTGACTACGCGATTCAAATTGCGCCCGCTTACTTTTAGTTCATCATCATGCACAACGGTTCTATGTTCTATCCCAGCTCATTGGGTATATAATGATTGTTGAACATTTGTTGCAAAAATGTTATTTTGTGCAGTGTAACTGAAGCAGTGAAAGGGGTTGGCAGTATTATTTATTATATTAAATAATGTAAAATGTTCGAAACTATTATTACAGCTCTATAAAATTTTTCGTATGGAATTAAATATAACAATCTATTACAAAATACAATTACATTAGTTAATAGGCACTGTATTTATTTACATCTAAAAATAGGTCATAATTTAATACAGGGTCATTTACAGAGATCTAATAGTGAAAGAAATTAAAAAATAATACCATTTACGCTAATACAATCATTAGAATTAATTAACAATAGGTTACGTATATTAATTTAATATATTACTCTCCATTGTTGGCCACTCAATACTGTCGCAATCTTTACAATTTAAAGCTACATGCGATTTCATAATTGTCTGTAGGGCACATCTAGCACCACGCTCCTCTGTAAGTTGAGACGATAACGTCGCTAAATTTATTTCCAAATTTTTTATTTGGCATTTCATTGATTTTATAGAGTCTGCTATATTTTTTTCCGTCTCTGATGACGATCCATCATGATAAGATTGCACTTCAACTGAAATGTATAATGAAATGCAAAGCGTCATTAAATTATTACATGCACATGTTAAAAATTTAATTTGTACTCTCTACACCTTGACCCTCGCAAGTTATATTGAACATCTCGCTGTGATAATAAACAGAAAAGTAAAACTTCCCATGGTATTTGCTGAAAAAAAAAAGCAAAAAGCTGGCGAGTGAAATGAAAAGGCAGACATCACACCAGTCTAATCATGCAACGAGCAAACTAGAAGAGTAGAGGTAAGGAAATTTACTAGATTGTGTTAGAAAGTAGAAAATGGTAAAGCACAATGAATATTAATTGTTATATAAAAAGTGCATATTTTTTAATACCTATCTCGTACTTACTTAAAGTAGCAAGCGACTGAACTAAACATGTGCAGACAATATAAAATATGAAGTAGTTACGTGTCATACTTTACAATTAACCCATTCTACTAAGAGCGCCATTATAATTGTTTATACTTTCACACGCACTAACACTGCTTAATTACTAAACTAACTCACTTACAGGGTGGCTAACGACGTTTAAGTTGCAAAATGCTAAAGTCAAAGTTTCAATTTTTAACCATGCTGCGATAGCATCATTAACCACCATGTACCCATAAACCCCACTATACAAGTTGTAAAGTATAACAACTAAATAATACTGATCAAAACATTGACAAAAATACTACAGAGCAAGTACCTTACAAATAGTGCTACAGAAAAAGAAATAAAGTATGCAATAATGCATAAATATAGAATAGAAATAACACCACCCAAAATTTCTTAAAAAATTCTACTTACAAGCATATAAATAGAACAACAAACAAACTAAATGCTGTGTTTCACTCGTTTCATTATAAGTGAACCACAACACCAAGTGGAAGCTCTAACATGAGGCCGGAAGCTACGCCTGTGCAACGGTTGGGTAATAACAGCAGATGAAGAACGACCTAGATCGACACTAGATCTGTGCAAATTGGAACGTGCAAGTTTATCATGCATTTGTACATTACCACCGGTTAGTAGCTCCACTGCTTTTCCCAACATGAAAGATGAAACAGATATAGTTTAGGACATTGGCAATTAACACAACGATAGATAGACACGGTTGAAGTAAAGTGAGAAGATAAAATGTACATACCTGAAGGAATAGTGTTTTTCGATTTTCCATTCGAGCAGTACGCCTCGATTACATCTAATATAAGGGCGTCTTCCGCATAGGTGGTCGGTTTACGATTCGATCTAATGGGCGAACCGTTTGATGCGGTACCGAGGGCGAGACAAGGACGCAAAGGCGGCGCGGGTCTTAGGCAACTTGCAGACCAGCCACGATTACCTACTGCGTTATAATTAGAGGGGAAGAGAGCTGAATATCCGCTAATACTGCTAGTTCCTGTCCCGGGGCGGTTGTTTCCGCTTGACAGTCCTTGTGCTGCCACTAGAGGAGACATCTGCAACAAAATTTTAATTGTCAGATGGAATTCACAGCCAATGCAATAAATTTAGTTTGACATTTACACTAATTGTTTGTCAGCCCGATGAAGGTGCGGTTCAGAGGCGCCATTATGGGCAGAGTCCCGCAGAATGATCCGAGCTCATTTTGTTATTGATTTAACAGTTTCGAAAAAGATTAGGTAGATTGTTACTAAAATATATTCGCGTTAGTTAACACATTGCAAGTATAAAGCGGCATGCAATGCAAGATCATTAAATAAGTACATTCAACCAATCGTGAGTTGAAGAATCTTTGAACAAGAAGGTTCCAAATTTAATTAAGCCCTCCACTTGCTTTCACACGTACACGTACATTTCTTTGGGATGGAATTTGTTGTATTTTAAAAAATCTTTAAGCGTGTTTTACATGATGGAAGTTTTTGTGAAACTTAAAAGCATGCGCAATAGGTGCTTTTCTTGTATTTTTTTGAATTATTTGTCTCGTTTTTTAAATTGTTTAAATCTTTTTTTACTTTTTTTGACCATTTGATCTTTTTTGAATATCATCCCTGGCGTGTTATATTTTTAAAAACAGAGTTTAATAAGCTACCTTTTTAGATTTAAACATACAGGGCGTTCCATACAAAAAATTAGGTTTTAAACGTTTAAAAAAATGAGGTTAGGTCCGATAATTTTTTACCTGACCCCGTATACTTATTTTGAAAATGGCAGATTATTAAAAAAAAACATTATAACACAACTGTGTAAAAGATTTTTCTGTATCTCTTTTAACTACGAAAATATACCTAAGGTCATTCTGAAATTGACCATTTTTTGTATCCCGATGGTCGGGGCTTAAAGTCTCCTGATGAGTTACCGAATTAATTAGAGATGGCCGCGGATAAGCAATCACAATGTTTGGTTACATCACTCCCGAACACACAAGATTACCAATCACGCTGAATGAAGCCATACCCCTCACGACCGCAGTAGGTGATTTCTGGTCCATAACATGCGCCGCGGTCTATCAGTCCCATATTCCCACCACGCCAATGGTAGTATGATATGTTAAATGTCATACCCCTTTTACCACTATCACTGTGACAATTGTATTACATGTGTTTGAAATGTTTTAGAAACTGTGCAAGAAATGTTGGAAGTTTTCCAAATATATGAAGGAAAGTTTGGAAACGTTTTTTGGAAAAAATAGAAATGTATAGTTAATTTTAAAAAACTAAGAAAATATGCATGAAATGTTGGAAATTTTGAAAATTCTTCAAATATGCTCAGGATGAGTCCGTGTGACGCAGTTGAGGTAAAGCTAGACTAATGGTCCCAGGTCCAGGCATGGATATTTGTAAATGTATAGAGGGTTGGGTTGGTAGAGCAACCTTGGCTAAAACCCCGCCCACTCAAAAATAAAGGACAAAAATAAATAAAATAAAAATAAATTTTGGAAACGGTTGCGAAATGGTTTTGATAATAGTAGTGATAGTAGAATATTTTTAAAATGTGGAGAAAATTATTCGAAGATTTGTAGACAATTTTTTCTTTGAAGAAAATATATGGGCAGTTTTGAAAATTGCTATCAAGTTTTAGAAATGTTTAGGAAATCTTTAAAAATGACACAAAATGTGAAAATGTTTAGGAAATGGAAAATATGTATGCCAGAAAAAATGGGCAAATGTTTCTGATATTAAGAATGTGAAATGTTTTCGTTTCAGTCTATCACATTTGTGACAGTGGAGTCTTATGGAGTTTTCTTACCAAAATCATGATCGCCTGCATTTTTTTAAAAACGCAAGGAACAACAACAAAAATGTAGAAGAGAAATTGTAGACTAAATTTCCTACAAAAAAGTTTGTCAGGACATATTACTATCTTCAACTGTTTTTGAATAACAATCATTTAAATATTTGAAAGTTTATAAGATGTAGACAGGCAAGTGCAGTAGCAGTTTTTCGTGCGTGGCCTATCGCGTGCGCAATGCGCGATAAGCGCGGACAAACTCTGAAAGCGAAAATGAAACTTCTATACATTTTTTCGCATCTATTTCGGTTTGCGCTGCTTTTTGAAATAAACGAGGGCGGTCGTGGTTTTGGTAAGAAAACTCCGTAAAACCTGCTCACTAGTGGAAGTGTAATAGATAAGAGCCGATTTTGACATGGACCGTAAATTGGATTCACTTTGTGCTCATACTAAAAATATGTAGTTCACATACCTAGTTTTGACGTTTTGAAAATGAGAATATTTGGAAAATTTTGGAAATGATTCGGACGATTTAGAAATGTTCAAAACGTGTTGAGAATGTAGGTATAAGAAAAGTAAGTTTTGGCAATGTCACATTTTTGGAAATGTGTAGGAAATTTTGGAAATAATTTGCGATGTTTTCAAATGCTTTGATGAACAGAAATGTTCAGGCAATTCTGGATATTTGCGGAGGCTTAGCAATGCTTCCGAAACGTTGGAAACGTGTAAGGACTTTCGCAAATGCTGTACCTATGTTTTGGAAATAAGAAAAAGAGTAGGGCATTTTGAAAATACGCAAGACATTTTTTAGGAATTTAGAAATACTCTACAACTGCATAGAAAATTCTAGAAATTTGTTTTGGAAACCCTTGGGAATATGTAACAAAATTATATGTTGAAATACAGTACAATTCCAATTATCCAAATTAATTGGGAGCGGACCCGATCAGGATAATCAATTATCCGATAATGGATCAATCAAAAAGGGCTAATTGTTGCAGTATAATGTATAACAGGGTGGTCCAAACTCAAGGATCACCATTCGGATCTCTACAACAGTGAAAGACACAGTGTAGGTTAAATGGGGGCAAAGTTGTCCCTTTTTATGACTAAAAAAACGCATTTGAGATTTTTTAAAATTCTTTAAAAATAACTGAGGTATAACTGAAAATGTTAAATATTCATTGGCATTTTCCCTACCTTTAACGGTTGGAAATACAGTTCCCGTTTGCCCCTTCTAGGGGCCCTTTTTTCGAAGAATCTGAATTTCAATAACACACTAAATCTAGAAGCTACAGACACTACATTCTTATTTCCTATGGGCGCCATATTAGATTTCTCCAGAATGAGAAAGAGAACAAAAAAGAAAAATAATGCAGTGGTATTTGTAAGCCACAAATTTGAACCACTCTTTCAAGCAATTTGTTAATTTAATAGTCATCTTAAAAACGCAAATCCCTCCCCGCCTCCCTCCTCTCCAAGGGACAATCCGAATAACTAGCGATCAGGATAGTTGGATGTAGACGGTTTTATAATATCAATTTGCAACCCAAGACTTCTACAATAGTATACCTTATAACATGCACACTAAACATGAAAAACAATTGTCACACCAAAGGAATAAATTTAAATAGTGTTAATAGAGGGCGATGTTAAAATTACAGGCAAGGGTCAGCATATTTCAAAGCAATCAAACGGTGTTAGAAATTTAGAAACCAAACTATAAAGCCAAGGGAAGCCAAACACACAAAACACTGCACCCTTGCCTGTGGTAGGTGAACGAGCGTCTTCGTAAATACCCCGCACGACCTCGTTTGGAATTTTTGCTTTTAACCACCAGTGAGCGTACAAGCCCGACTTATATATCTCCGGCTTGACGGTAGTCTTTTCCTTTAGAGACGACACCTTCGGTTCGTCTGAAATGCAAGCGATCGACTTCGACATGCTATCTGTGTCGACGCTCGCCGGACACCTCTGTTTTTTCAAGGTTTCATTTTGGGAACGAATTTGCATCAATTTGGAATGGATTAGGTTTACCGACTCCCAGGGATGAGGAGTTGGAACGTGAGAAATGTCTACAAGTGACGTCCTCAAGGCACCTTGCGTACCGGTAGCTATATTTTCGGAAATGTACGTTTGGCAGGACGTTCGCGGTGTGGATCCAAACGGCGAAGTACACTGACATTGTGACTCAAATTTTTCAGCTTCATTTTCACTAAAAGACACTACATTGCTGCCTAAACTACTGAGATCGCCGTCGCATATGTCGAACCTGTTTACACAATCACAGCCAGGTCGTTTCTCGTTCTGAGGATCGTTCATGGCAAAATCTGGCGAATTCAGATTGCAGCTGCCTGCCATACCCGAGTCGGACGAGCGCGAACTGCCATGTGAAGTTTCCATGCACCGGCAACAAGGCATGTATGTGCTTGTGGAGGGGTCCGCCAGTTTTACCAGTTGGTAACTGACGCACCGTCGCAAACCAAAACTTTGCGTTTTATCGGATGAGGGGTTAAATTGAATACTGGAACGGCGTTTGGGCTTTGGTTGATGCATTTCCTGATCACCCTGAGTGTTACGATACATGGTAGGAGGCTTAATTACAGAGTCTGAACAGACAACACTGTTGGTATCAAAGTTGTACAATAACTCAGCCAAAACTTTATCGGGAAGCGGAACAGGATTCACATTTAAATCTAAACTGCTCGAATGTGTAGTTGTACTGGCACTCTCGCTTTTGGTCGGCTCTGCGGAAACGGTCGAACGACATATGGACTTGTCATGCTTGGATTTCCACGGAGGTATATAAATGGAAGTGAGACTGTTCTCGCTAAATTTATTAGCGACAAACTTCGGCGGCATAGTTTGCCGTATTTTAGGCACTGACATTTTCTTGATATTCGTTTCGATCGCCATGTCATTGTCGAGGTTCAATAAATTTTCGCACGCCATATAAGGTTTTGCTTCCAAACTCGAGCTCTCCTCAGACGTTTCTGACGTTTGATGTCTTAGTTGAACGTTAACGGACGAGGTTAACAAAACACTGCCTTTCGAGGGTGGTTGCTCGGCATTAACCTCACCGTAGTCGATGAAGCTTTCATATTTGCTTTCCTCCCGTTGCTCGCCTGTCTGCGGATTATAATAACGGATGTACCCAAAAGGATTACTTGAACTACTCGATCGCCTATCATGAGAACTACTAATTATTCTATAAAATATGTCCGGTTTATCGTCATCACTACTATCACTATTTGAAGTTGAACTTATGGAGTACGAGGAAGAATCACTATCACAATTAATAACGCTCATTCTACGATAAGAATCCTTAGGTATTATAACGCACTCTGTTTTATGACGTCGTTTCTTTACTGCCGAAGTGTCAAATTTTTTATTAAGGTATTCTGGGTATAACAACTTTTTCATTAGTCTTCTTGTAATTTTTCGTTCTTTGATCAGCTTTCGGTAGTGTTTACTGAGATTGGCGTAAGGTGCTGCGGATGGATACGACAATGAAGGTAATGTTGGATTATATGGAACAGAAGGATTGTAGGTAAAGAAAACAACAGAGGTGCGATTGCAGTATCCTCGCGGGTCGAGCTGTAGAAAATAAAAGTTTTGTATTCATTTATAGGCTACTAATCTAAAAGGCACAATAAAAAGGGTACAGTGCTCAAGTACCTATGCCCGAGTGCTGTTGACCTTCATTTCACCTTTTACGGAAACCATGCAAAGATAAGTGATTATTAAAATTTTTGGTGTGTTATTTCTACCGTTCCGTAATTGTTTCGTTGTACAATTACCCTCCGTTAGCGCAGTGTATGGGCTGAACGCCTGAATTACCCTATCTTCGAGGAACCGCACCTATGGGAAATCCAGGGGCTGCCTACACCTTCGACTTTGGAAGGAAAATAGATTTACTTCATTGGCGTTTCAGTTACCAAAGGACTGCCTTTAACTTTATATGCAGGTGGCAACAAATATTGCCCAGAATCCCAACAACCACGCTTTAAATAAACGGTACTTCGAATAACAAAATAAGTTCTTTAAAAAAATCGCAAGTCATTTGTAAGGACAAATATAAATTATACAACTTACGTAACTCAGTGATTGTGAACAAGTAGGTACATATAAATATAACAATATAAACTGAAAAGGTACATTTTTCTAGAAAAATCAACATGATAAGTGAGTGATAAGATATCAAAGTAACTGTGGAAGGTATCCAAATGAACAGGCATTCAATAATTTTTCTTTCGTTCTTATATTCGTCATATGAGTATAGTGAACAAATTAAATTTGGGATGATGATTTAACACCACAGGTCCGATAGCCCCTCCATAAGTCATCTTGTTATGCTAGGTCTTTGTATAGTATAAATTGTTAGTGATTTCATCTTGAATTTCATTTTGAGTATGTACTTAACTTTTTGTAACCACTTTTATGACAATATTTATCAAGAAAGCCTTAGGATGAAAATGTTCTTTATGAAATCGTACTTTTGGTCTGTCTGTCTGTTTAGGACGCGAGAAAGGGTAGAGGTTTGCACCACTCATTTTGAAAAAAACCCCAATACCAAAGTTTATCCAGATCACATTTTTTTCCCACTTCCGTTTAGAGGTAAGTTTTGTTTTACCCAAAATCGTCATGAAACCTTCATTTTCACGCCCACTTTATGTCAGGAAGTTTGGACGATTGGCACGTCTGGAATAAATATATCCATTGGTAATTTCAAAACTTTAAGAGTGAATATCTCGAAAACGGTTTATCGGAGGAAAGTACTCACAAAAGCAAAATGAACCATCTGGGTTGGTGAAGTCGAAGCGAATATCTTGAAAACGAAGTCTCGGAAGAGGTACTCATAAAGAGCAAGTGGAATGTCTCGACAAGACACATCTACTGATGATGTCAAAACCTTCAGTGCAAATGTCTGTAGAATGGTGAAAGGGGAGGGTGCTCTTAAAGGCCGGAAAAATGGTCTAAAGGATACACATGTCCTAGCGATGTGAATTGTGAGTATCTGGAAAATGCAAGTACCTACAAAGGGTACTTCATTCTTGTTGCATTAATATAGCGCAGATTTTGAATGTATACCAAGCGGCCTTTAAATGTTTATGTATCCCCTCCACATTAATCATCTATCAAAAATTGCAAAGCTCTTTTGGTTTAAAAAAATGCACTTCATCTGGGTAAGTTGTGCACAACTTATACTTGTTTTTAATTTTAGCCATGAAAACCTTATTTTTTTACTGTTTTTAAATAGTAGGCCATGGATTCTTGGAGATTCTGTTTTGTTTATTGTATCCATGGTAATTAAGCCAGCTGATACCAATTAATAAAAATGGCTGCTGGTTGAAATGTCATTTCAACATTTTGAAAAATGATATAATATATAATTATATAAAAAATATAAGTTTCGATCGCCATCTTGCTGATACCATAGCAAAAAACTTGGTCATTTTTCAAAGCACAGAAGATAGGTACTGAAGCTCCACACATCTTTGAAACTTTTTCTCTCACTACGTAAGGGTTCTCCAGTAATGACTCTTTATGTCTGTTGAACGTCCCATTTTTCATGAATTTTGCCCATCGCTATATATATTTGCCAAAAAGTTTGTGTCTTCTTCACATTTGATCAGCATTCACTCCCAGGGACCCACCCGGTTTGGTGGCTCTTGGGACTAGACATGGGAATTTTTTTTGATATATCGATAGGTCGAATAACAATAGGTAGAGCTAAAAAAATCGATATATCGATAGGTATCGATATATCGATACTTATCAATTAGTATCGATATATCGATAGTTATCGATACTAATCGATATATCGATACCTATCGATATGTCGATAACTATTGATATATCGATAACTATTGATATATCGATATGTCGATAACTATTGGTACGATAAAATTATGTTATTGTTGAGATTTCAACGAGCGCTACTATTTTTATTAATAAAATCCATTTTCGGGTTTACTCTCATGGAAAGTTACTATTTTTAGTTGCTCGACGTTTCGGAAACTTAACTTTGCTCCCTTTTTCAAGAGAAGCGCTACGTCACATCATCATCCATGCCAAATCCACGCATAAAAGGCATCATAATTATATAAAATTGCCTACACATTTTCTAAAGATAAATTTAGCGTATGTTTTAAACCTCACCGTTCTCTACAACATCTCCTTAGAAATCCCAAAGACAATATCCCAGGTAAAAACAAGGAGTTTACGAAATTCGTTGTACTAATTGTATGAGATCATACATAAGTCAGACTAATAGGAGTACAAGAGCGGTTATTGGCAATTAAACATCATACTACATCTTCTTCAGCAACACACCATCTGGACACTGGCCATTATACTGAACCAAACACTATAAAAGAAACAATAGTTTCCGAATTTCGCAAATATGAAATAAAATACTTATCGATAAGTAAAATATATCGATAGGTAAGTACCCGATACTTATCGATAGGTGAAAACAGTTATCGCCCATCCCTAGCGATAACTATCGACATATAGATACTTATCGATATATCGATACCTATCGATGTATCGATAGTATTCATATATCGATAACTATCGATATAACTATAACTATCGATATATCGATAACTGTTGATATACTGATACTTATCGATATATTGACAGTTATCGATATTTCGATAGTTATCGATAAGTATCGATAGGTAAGTATCGATAGGTATCGATATTTCGATAATTATCGGCATATCGATAAGTAAAATATATCGATAGGTAAGTACCCGATACTTATCGATAGGTGAAAACAGTTATCGCCCATCCCTACTTGGGACTGTAAACGGTGTACAAATTGAATCCAAAAAGCTTTGCACTTATGCTTCTTCAAAACTCTATAAATTGATGAATATGGTAGATCAAAATGTTTTTAGGCATCATTAATGGATGCGGTTGGATGAGCTTCAAAAAATGCCAAGACATTGATCCTTTGGGCAGTAAAACTTCCCGATTTGGCAATTCAACACGGCATTCCAATTTTTTTCTCGTTGGCCTTCTTCTTGTGGGAAAATGTGCATTGAATAAATCTAAAGTACAATTCACGTTCTTATAGCATTCTATAAATCATTAAGTTCAAACATTAGCCATTACCTAAAAATCAAAAGAACGCTAACGCTTGGTTTGGCAGATATTATTAATTGAAATTTCAATGGCAATCGTGATTTGTATTGTTCATGGCAACCATGATTTGTAAAAAAAAATACTTTACCTACTAAGAAAAATGTAAATAACTTGAAAACTATCAATTGTAGGCATAGGATATTGCATGTCAATCGAAAAACAAAGTTGCCTAGATTAATATCTGAAATAAAAAATGGACATTCCATTAAAAATTTTTTTAAAAAACTTAAACAGCAATATTTTTGTAATTTGTGAAGATTAGCTTATTATAAAAAATGAGTATGATTATTCGAATAACCAGTATTTTTTATAGAGGCCCCCAAAATTTCATTGTTTTACGTCTAATAATCACCGAGATACAAAGCCTCAAAGTACTCGCCTTAACTGTCAATCTTTTGCTTAAAACATAAATATCTTCAAAATAGTCAAGGATGGCCATAGATATCTCTTTAAAAGAAACACTTTCGTTGTTAACCTTACCTTGGTTTGTTTTGAAAGTACCTCCACCTACCACCAAAAAATTTTTCGACATTGGGAAAAACGCCGTTAGTGCTAATGTGATGGTATGGAGTAGCTCTTTGCACCGTGCAAATAAAGTTATTTGAATTTAACTAAAACTTCGGATGTACTTGTTTATTAAGCGGCAGAGCAAAGCGATGCAAACTTTATAGGGGAGTCGACAGTGTCCGTCTGTCCGTCCGTCCGTGAACACAATAACTGTCAAACGCTTGGACCGATTTGGTTCAAACTTTACACAGTTGACCTATGTGCCGCATGTAACAAGCCTATTGAAAATGGATCAAATCCAATGATCCCTTGGGGTCACGCCTCTCTATCTCTGCCAAACGCTTGAACCTATTCAATACAAACTTTGCACAGTTGACCTATATGCCACATGTAACAAGTCCATTATCAAATCCAATAACCCCGTAGGGTCACACCGAGGTGCTCTGCCGCTTTTTTTAGATGCTCTTTAGACCTATATGCCACATGTAACAAGTCCATTATCAAATCCAATAACCCCGTAGGGTCACACCGAGGTGCTCTGCCGCTTTTTTTAGATGCTCTTTAGGGGTTTATTTCTTTGACGAAGAGTCTTCATTCTTTTAAGGGCATAGGGTTCCATTTCCTTACCTATGTCTTGTTCTAAAAGAGTACACGCCAAAGCACACGGGCTTCATATGGTCTAAGAGAAGCTTTGGATTTGTGAATAATTTACTTCAAACTCTACGTGAGCATAATGAGATGGTAATTATAACATTTCGTGTCATAATAAGTTACAGGAAACATCTCAATGCACACAGTTTCTAATGTGACAATTACCATTGCAATAAAAATAACAGAAATGCCATCGACCCGTGTTTACAGGCGCATTCATACGCCAATTTTTTGTTTGGTATAGAAACTACGAACTACTTACGGTCCTTATGCGAGGTCAAAAT